TAGTACAAACTGCAAGGTTGTTTAAAATCCTAATTCACAGAAATACAAAACTATAATAATATGGCGTCTAAGTCGCGTTTTATCCTAAATTGGGATAATTATAGTAAAAATATTATTTTTATGATTTAGTTAGAGACATATGCCAGATGGCAGTAAAGGAAAACAAAACAAAAGTATTTAAGTGTGGAGGATGTTTGAAGATCATAATTATTGAAACACTTTAACCAACTCTATAACTCGTTACCCAAGGCAAAAAAGTTAAACGCAAACAACTTTATTGACAAATGTATTGTTTCTACTTTGAAAAATACTAATGGGCCTTAAAATTAAAGAAGTTCTAAAAAAAATTTTGAATTTTTTTTAGTTAAATGAGAATAATTTATTCGCAGTCGAAAAAAATAGTTTCCGCGTGTTGTTTAGGGTCAAATATTTCAAGTTAATGTATTCAAAAAGCAGGAATTGCTATTTCAGGAACGCAACATTTTCTTATTCAAGAACATGGCGGCTTTCACTTTGTTGTTTTGGAGATTAAGATGGAGTAGTTCGAGAAGTCACATACTGGACTAATAAAGTCGCAGTTCAGCCTTAACAGGTCGAATACTAGTCGCAAGATTGCCTAATTTAGTTATCCTAGAGTCTAGCTTGTGCCGCCCTCTATATTCTAAATAAACGAGGGAGTGGATAAAGTATCGGTAATATGTCGATGTATAATATAAATTTAGTTTTATATGTGCCTTTCTTACGTCCCATTTTAATTAGTTTTTTTTTATAAAAACAAAAACAGCACTGAAAATTTTATATACAGAACAATGAAGTGAAAATTTAAGATTTAAGGTTATGGTTCAGTACAGTTGCAAGAAGGTAGTGGCTCGACGTCCTACCAACGTAAGAATAAGGAAATCTAAACAACGTTGGAATTAGTAAAACAGACGACGCTTGCATAACGTTGGAATAGGTCTTGAAAGTGACGTCGGAAAACTCTTTATTGCCAATGGTCATATGGCAACATCGTAACTACGTTGTCCGAATCACCTAAAGATCACTTAAGCAAAAAAGGTTGCAAGACAACGTTTATTCGACGTCGCAGAAGCTTTTACTTTGTTGTAGTACTAGTGCAACGTCGGCACAACGTTACAACAACGTTTACATTTATTTTAATACCCAAGGTACGAAGCTAACTATTTTTTGTAACTAATCCAACGTTGTGTTTAGTAAACATGTGGTCGCAAGTCGTGAAAATGCTACTTGGGCGTGATGATTGTGAAAAAGTGTCATTAAAAACTAAAAAACTGTGTTGTGAACTGTGAACTGCAAAAACCATCGTGGATCGTGGCATAACTAAAAAAAAGTTTCCAGTGTTTCATAGGTATTTTACATACATGTCCTTATACAAAATAAAGTTTTTTGTATGCAACACACTGTATTTTATTTATAAAATTAAAAGAAAATAATAATAAATTTGAATAAATAATATTTGGCGACGTAATTCCGGAAAAAGCCGAATTATCAAAAGCTTTGGGTCGCGACCTTTGCAAGAATAGTGCCAAATAGTGTTTACATTGTCCTTATGGGCACTTTCCAATCTAAACTTGTTTTATTTATCTACGATTTCTACTGATAAGCAGTTGCATAAATATATCACAAAATCATTATCTATTAATCCTTTAAAGTTCAACTAGCCCTTTGCATAAGAGCTGAAATATTTTGAGTCTTTTTATAGGTAAAATAGGTAATAAAAATCTAAAACAAGATGGTCCAATTTATGTTCTTAACCGTGTCTAAATCTATCTTCAGGTCCTATTAAGGAAAAAGAATGGGAACGACTGGAATTCAAAGACAAAAGGTAATTCGTTTTAAAAAGAATCGCACTTGAAACGATGTACAATCTCCGGACAATGAAATGGCCAAAGAAATCGCAATAAATTTCTTTTCGATTGAGGCACGGCTTCTTAGATTTTATTTCAGCTAAAAATTGTACCACATAAGACAGAATACTACAGATAACATGAGAATACCTAAAAATAATTTTCAAATACTAATTATTACTTTTTTATAACAAGTCAGGAATATTCTCTTTTTTTCTAGCGAATTTAAATACTCTCTAATCTTTGCTTGTTCTAAAATGATCTCATACTTTTACACATACATACATACCGACTACCGACAAAAAAAACATGAAAATATAGTACCGAATAAAAACGCCGTCCAGTTGGCTTGGAAATGACAATCCATGACATTCTCCATATAATTTCAGATATATCTTCATTTCATAGCTATCGCTGACGCAGTTTTTTTTTGATCATATTGTATAATTTTTTTCTAAAGGTTTAAAAATTAAAAGACGTTTCTATGGTAATATAATTTAGTTTTCATCTTTTGACAGATTGCTATTGGTAGGATTTTAATTTATGTTATATCTTTTGCTGTTTTAATTGTTAAAGAAGCACAAAACTTATTTAATTTAATCTTTGAATAAAGAGATTAAGGCAGGAGCATATCAAAAATGTTAGGTCGAACGCGACGGGGTCCTAGTATAACCTTATAAAAAAAAATAAAGACTTAAATTCCGATTTATCAGTGCCGTTCTAATTTTAGTCAAAACGTGTAAAAATATGATGTAGAGTAGACGTGGGGTAGACTCAATAATTTGTTGTTTTATTTTATGTTGCCAATAAATGTTGGTAGTTCCTAAAATTGTTATGAAAATATATAATTAATAGATAAGTCATAATAATTATTTATTAACACAAACATCTACGCTACTGAAGTACCTACTGAAGTCAAATTGACGTATCTAAAAAGTGGTGAAACGGTGAATTTTTCCTTTCACTGGTGTACCCATGATAAGATACTATATAATATATAAAATGGGTATACCTAATACAAATACGGACGAAAACTTATTACTCTTCAAAACGGTTAAAAATATGTAGGTGGTGCGTCGTACAAGTAGGAGTCTTACTGACAACAAAACCGTATTTCTCATGCGAAAAACCACACAGATTAATCCTAACACCAATACTCATCCATATATATGAGGCTAGTTCAGAAATTATTGAAAAATGAATTAAAATGAAACTTCTACACCCTGTACCTCAGAAACGAAGCATTTTAGGTCATAAATTTATACAGACTTTTTTACTTATTTTTATCTGCAGATAGGGTTGCCAACCGTTGTCTCTTCCAGAGGACAGTCCTCTTTTTAATCGTACTACTTTCTCTCACGTATTGCAAAAGTCCTCTTTTTTACATACTAAACTCAAAATATAAAAAATATTCGTCTATCGTCACAATGCTTAATAAAATTGTTAAAAGAGGGTTATTTCGTATTTTCTCGTCTAACATTGCATCGTCTAGGCTTATACTTACTAACCTACTGCCATTACTCGCTGACGAGTATTTGACACGCATCAGAAGATGGTTACGCAAGGCGTTTCCTGTCATGAGCTTTTCTGTGACTAAAAAGCCCGATACGTGATGTTATCTCTCTTCCGCACTCCGTACATTCAAAAATCTCATTACTTTGTTGCCTCTTTACTTTATGGTTGTCGTTAATTAACTGAATTTACAATTCTCCTCCATTGCGTTCTATTGTGCGCTGCTTCCTCCCACTGATGCTGCATACTTATCCCCTTTAAGTTTTCATCAAAAACATCCTTGTATCTTTTGAGCTGTCCACCCGGTTTCCTCTCATTTTTTATAGGTTCACCGTAAAGAAGAGATTTCAGTAGGCGGTTTTCTTGCATCCTGCATAAGTAGCCAGCCCATCTTAAGCGAGATTTAGTAATCATGACTTCAGCGCTCTCGCAGCTTGCTTTTTCAAGGACTGATACGTTGGAGACATGATGGTACCATTTGATTCTTAACAGTTGTCTAAGGTGTCTCTGTTGCAACTTGTTTAATGCGCTCGTGTGCCGGCGGTACGGCATCCAGGTTTCGCTTCCATATAACATGGTGGGGATTATTACTGCTCGATACACTGCAAGTTTCGTTTTTGTTCTCAAGTCATGATTGTAGAAAACCCTGTCTTTTAATTTCCAGAATGCTCTTGAGGCGCTGCTGATTCTGTGCTGAATTTCAGAGTCGATATTTGCCTTTTCCGAAATCAAACTGCCGAGGTAATTAAAATCCGATACATATTGCAATTTGTAATAGTTCTTCTCCGAATTTAATAACGCTGTTACGATTTTCCGGGGGAGTGATGTTCAGTTTAAGGCCCAAAGTATGCCCAGGTATATGTGTTCAGCATTCCCTGTAATTGCTGTAACGTATTTGCAACTAGAGCGCAGTCATCAGCGTATTGGAGTTCTGTGATGAATTTTATACGTGTTTTTGCCCTGAGTCTTTTTATGTTGAACAGACCGCCGTCATACCTGTATCTAACACATATTCCTCTTTCCTGCAGTTTGCTGTGCACTATAATAGAGAGGGCTAATAGAATATGTTGATAATAGAAGGGGGGATAATAGAATATGTTGAATAGGAGAGGAGCTAGAACACATCCCTGCCTAACTCCTGTATTTGTCAGGAAGGGATCGCTCAGTGATCCATGATGTGACACTCTCGACTTGTTGTTGTTATGGAGGCTTTTACACACAGTGAGAAATTTGTTGGGCACTCCGAACTTTTGCATAATTGCCCAAAGTGCATCTCTGTTTACAGAGTCGAAGGCTTTCGTTAGGTCGTTGAATGCAACATAAAGTTTACTCTGCTGTTCCTTTACTTTTTCCTGTAGTTGGCGGACGGAGAATATGGAATCAACGATACCGCGGTTGGTGCGAAAGCCCGTTTTCGATTCTGGGATGATTTTTTCTTTATGTGGGTGAAGGCGGTTTGACATAATTTTTGCAAGAACTTTTCCTCCGATAACCAGTAGTGAAATTCCTCGGTAGTTTCCGCAATCTGATGCTTTACTACAAATTGTTTGACATTGACCTACTTTGGTTGATTTTGCGAGTAGTGTAGTGGCTCTTTAAAACAAGTTGAATTTTTGTTTTCAGGTTGATCCTCCTCCGACGTCAACGTCTCAAACCGCCTCGACCAGCACTGCGCAGGCATCCGGCGCAGCTCATGGCGGCAACGGGAGTCACCTGAACGTAACCGGATGTCCGGGCGAGGATAACGGAAGTTCAGACGAGGCCAACACGCCTCTTCACAGTCCAAGGTCACACAACACGAGTCGGGAAGATGACGAGAGCTCGAACGCTAACGAAAGTGACTGTAAAAGTCCTAATAATAGGTAGGTCATTTCAGAGTTTGTATGGTAGATTCCGTATTAATAAATAATATTTAATCAGAAATTTAACAGGTTACAAGGCCAATCTGTAGAGATAAAATATGTATTTGTACTGAATTGTACAAGTTTCATTTATGAAGTAGAATATATTTTATTTTTTCTGTGTAGGTATTCTATTTTTTTTATTTAAGTTATTATGATCGAACAGGAAATCGGTGTACAAACCGCTATCTTTACCTTTTCAAATATATACCGGGTGCGTCTCAAAAGTGTCTCACCCGTATAACTTTTTTTATTTTTTCAGATAAAACAACGAGATGTGGTATGTTAGTATATGACATAAATTGGGATTGATTGACGTATTCAATAATTTTCGGTCACTTCCTGTTTCACCGAAAATGACAACAAATTTTGAATTTTAAAGACATTCTCGGTATTTTCTTACTTTATTCGATAGAAAATGACACTCTGAATAGAATGACATATCATAATATGTCAACTTCTTGACATTTTCGCATATAGTTTATTTGGAATTGTAACATGCGGTTCATAATGACCATTTGACTCGAAATACCAAGTGTGTGATATCAAATTATTGATTGACATATTTAATTGCTTTCGGTCACTTCCGGTTTCACCGGAAATGACTACAACTTTTGATTTTTAAATAGCACCCTCGGTATTTTTTTACTTTATTGGAGATAGAAAATGACACTCTGAATCGAATGACATATCATATGTCAATTTTTGACATCTCAAAAACAAATTCTATTTTAAATTTCAATCTACAGTGCCATGGCTGTGTTAAAAACACTAATTTTTAATCAAGGAGTCTTAGAAAAATAGATTTGATCGTCCAATGTTTTAGTGTCTTTTACTGGCCGGTTAAAAGATGCCCAAATCGTATTTTTAATCATATCTCAATTTTTTCAAATGGAACGAGGGTGGCTTATTAGCATATTTGGAAAAAGCATTTTTTTTACGAATAAGTTGATACCACACACTTTGTATTTTGAGTCAAATTGTCGTTATGAACCGCATGTTACAATTTCAAATAAACCATATGCCAAAATATCAAAAGTTGACATATGATATGTCATTCGATTCAGAGTGTTATTTTCTATCGAATAAAGTAAAAAAATACCGAGGGTGCCATTTAAAAATCAAGCTGTAGTCATTTCCGGTGAAACCGGAAGTGACCGAAAACAATTGAATACGTCAATCAATCCCAATTTATGTCATATACTAACACACCCAAATATCGTTGTTTTATCTCAAAAAAAAAATAAAAAAGTTATAGGGGTGAGCCACTTTTGAGACTCACCCGGTATACCTGAAACCAAACTTTGATTTCAAATATGCTTCGTCAAAACTCAAGAGTTCATTAAGAAACAACTGAATATCAATTTCAGTATTTCTGCAAATGTCGCCTAATTTGAAATAAAATTCTATATAAATATTTAAAAAACACCAAGGTGTGCTATACAGGGTGAGTTTTCTACGATGTTGTCTATCGGGTATCTCGGAAACTACTGGAGATAGAGATTCGGTTAAATGGGGAAAGAATTGTAGTTTTTTGTGGGGTGATAAATATGCGCCTTTCGGATTTTTGAAAAAGTTCATGGCTTACTAGATATTTCGAAAAAAAAAAAATTTTGCCAATTTTAAAACTTGTCCCTAATTCCATTATAATATATTTTGATTTTTTTCTAAAGCCTGTCATTTTTGACATATGACACAAACATATGTCTTTTTAACGGAAACCATAGTTAGCCATGACTTCATAAAAATCGCCATTTTTAAGCTTTTCAGCGATATAAGGTACCTATAAAATATGTTTATTTCGAAAAATTACGAGTTATAGCCAATTCTTATCTTTCTTGACTAATTTCACTTAGTTGGCATGATGTTCTATTTTGATTTATAACTTATAAAAAAAAACAGAATATATTATTAAACGGTTCTTTACAATTTACGGAAACTAATTTAAAAAAACTAAAATTAAATTTAATTACGGAAACTAAAACTTAAAATAATAATATCACTACCCCAAACACTTTAATTTATTTCAAAAAATGTTCTGCCGATGCCGTGTCTCTCTCTTAGAGTTCCTCTCTTAATAATTAAGAGAGGAGGCCCATGCAATTGGTCCACTTCTCCGATCCCTAAGTGTGCATAAATATGATATAAATAATTTTAACGTAGTGTAACTTTTCTAACATGTCTTGAAAACCGTCCTCTGAAAAACGTAAGTAACACTCACCGGTCAACGTATCTTCGAAAATGTATGGCCAAGAAAAGTTGAACCATATATATAATCCTACACGCTTTTCTTCATTTAAAAAAAATCATATTTACACTTTTTGTTTATTTTAATTTACAAGGTTTGGATGTGACAGTTTTGCATTTCTGAAGACAAAGACGACTGAATTTGTTTCCATGGCTAACTAAGTAAATTGTTTTAAAATGATCAGAATTAGCTATAACTCGAAAAAAAACATATTATAGCTGATATCGCTTTAAAGCTTAAAAAATGGCGCTTTTTATGATGTCATGGCCAACTTTGGTTTCCATTTAAAAAAACAGATGTTTGTGTCATATGTCAAAATTGATAGGCTTTAGAAAAAAACGGAACACTCAGTCTCATTAAGGATGTGAGTATCTACAACTTTTATCTAAAAACTTTTTGTCTAAAATAGATTATAATGGAATTAGGGACAATTTTTAAAATAGCCAAAATTTGTTTTTTTTTCGAGATTTTTTCAAAAATCTGAAAGGCGAATATTTATGACCTCACAAAACTGCAATTCTTTCCCCATTTAGTAGTTTCCGAAATACCCATAGAGAACATCGTAGAAAACTGACCCTGTATAATTGAAAGATTAATTGACTTACCTATCAGGAAAATTGATTGTAATTATCCAAGCTTCGATGATCATTCTAGATTTTTCATTCACGTGAGGTGATATTCAGTTGTTCGTAAATTAAGTTCATAACCTACATTACCGTAAAGTTTTAATTTCTTTTAATTTTTAAAATATTTTTAAATCTAATAATAATGATACATCAATATTCTTTTATAATATTAATTTTGTCTAAATTAAATCAAAAATTGAATGTTGAAAATCAAATTATGTCATTTCACTACTTCTGTATAATTGCCCCTTACATTTTATCTATACACACATCACATACCGTTATTATTAGAATATTAGAATAGTCATATATATTTATGAAAATATATTATATATTACTATTCTTATATATAGGGTGCTACAAATTCGAGGTACGAGCATTGGTATCTTGGAAACCGTAATAGATACGAAGATGGTTAAATTGGGACAAAGTTGCGCCTTGGGATGTCAACCAAGACGCCATCAAAAAAGTTTTTAAAATTTCAAGCATTGCTGAGTTTTTTTGAAAAAACGGATATTTTTGAAAACCAATTTTATTTTTCCCTGTCTTTACTTTTTAGAATATTAAAAAACTAATTGTACATTCTCATAGCCACTTTATTAGGGCTATCTGATATTATTTTTATATTTTCAAATTAGCTGGTAATTTGTGATATACAGAGGCCAACTTATTTTTTTAAAATACGGACCTGCATTTTTTATATCAGATTTTGAAAGAACTCGGTCGCCTAAGTACAATGGTATGCCACACTTGTACTTTTTTTTGTTTTGGGTACCTTAACAACAACAAAACTATTTAATTATTATATAAAATAATTTCAAGTCTGACTCTGGTTTCTTAAATTGTTTAATCTGATTATATTCATTGCCACAATATTGATCAGTCCTAATTAACGTTGAATAAGGAAAATCGAACCATTTAAAAAATTCAAATAAATAATATCCAGGTCAGCAATTTAAAGATATTATTTTTAACTTTTTTTATTGCGAATTTGAAATCTCAGTGCACGATCTAATAATTTGCATAATATTAATCGTAGTTATTATAAATAAATTAACTTCTACAAACTAGTTTCTAATACTCTACATGTTCGAAAAGGTTACCACCTTTTCTATTGCACAAATTTAATTTTTGTTCAATTTTATTTATAGCTCTTTGAACAGATCTTCTTCTTATACTTCTTAATGCATTTTGTACTCTTTATTGTAAATGCTCAAATGTATTGATTTCACTTTTACAAATGACGTAAGTATTAATCTCCCCATACTATCAGATAACCTTAATAAAGTGGCTATGGGAATGTGCAATTATTTTTTTGATTTTCGAAAAATAAACGACAGGAAAAAATAAAATTGAGTTTCACAAAGATACGATACTATACGTACTAATATTATTTTCTATTTATTATAGTGATGTTGTAACTTCGATGCACGGCTGAAAAATAAAGAGGTTATTACAATGGCGGTTCTATTTTTAGGAAGAAATATTGTCCCCATCAATCTTTTTTTGAACATAAAAGTAATGGAGGTAATAAAGAAGTGCAATCTTTTCGTTCAAGCAAACTCTTTCAGCTGTATCGTAATGCAAAAGTGGTATATAATCTTAAGACTTTTAAATTTATACCAAAAGTATCAGCATTACATATATTACAATTTTATGTAACATCATTCTTTACCAACATCTGCTTTTATAGTAATATTTTTATATAAATATATGGAACTCTACAGTATGGCCCCGGATTGACGTTACAAGGGAGAAAACTTTTTTATTATTGACATTTTGGGAAAAATGCATTCTGCTAAATTTCCATACCGTTTTAGAGAAAATTGAAATAAAAATGTCAACAAACAACATGTTGCAAACCTTATACAACTGCTAGCCCTCAAAAAATGTTCAAACCTGGGCTGTTTAACCTCTACACTATGCGGAGAACTCTTCGAAGCAGGCCAAGGTCGCGTTTCGTCGCCCAACTTTGTCGCATTTCTGTTTATTTCCAGTTGTCTTCACCCACTTCGGTTTGCCTCGACCTACTTTCTATTCTTAAAAGCGCCTGAAAACTATTCGTGAGGAGGCCGTGGGAGGATTTT